CTGTTTTTTCTTCCAAATCCCCAATTCTCCATAATAGATCATTGTTTAACGAGGGTAGAGAGTGCCAAACAATTATCAGCCATTTGGTACAAAACCCCGGCGGATTTATAAAAGACGTTATTAGTCTCCCGAGTTTCTTTCATTGCATCGCTGCAAGTATCGTAGTCGGTCAACGCGGCGCTAAGATTAATGTTGAGGCTAAAGCCATCATTTTCCTTAATGTTCGTAAGGGCCTTGTCCAAATTATCAAAGGCGCTATTGAAGTTGGACAAACAAGTCGCGACTCCTCCATCGCGTTTCATCTCTTTCTTGGCGATTTCTTTGGCATGCCTCGTCCGCTTCATCAGCTCTCTAATGGCCACATCCGTCGCTGCGTTCACATTTGTTTGACCCTTAATGGTGCCTCTGCACAATGCCGGAAAATCCGCCACCGTGCAAGGGTCGATGAAAGAAACCTTCAACGCGACCGCGCTTTGGCTTGAGATGGCGAGGAGGAGGAAGATCGCCCCAAGGACGGTCATATGGGGGTTGATAGACATTATGTGTATATAATATGTACACCGAAACGTATATATATTGTGTGTTTGTATATATATACGTTCTTGTGTTTGTGATTGAACACCGGGTGGTGAATTAGTTTTGATGAAGAGAAAGGTGAGTTTATATATGCGTATGCAAAAAAAAAATGGTTATATTTAGTAAGTTCTTGTAAACATGTTTTGAGTAATTTGCCACCAGTGAACGAGACCAGACATATCTATTTTGGTATATGTTGTTAATTAGGTATGGTAATGCGTTATCGTTTTGTTATTCTATTTTGGGGAAACTTAAGATTTGTTCTAACATACATGGAAGTTGTCTGTGAAATCGAGTTGATTTTCAGTTACATGTACAGTTTTGTATCAGCACACAAAGCTAACGAATACTAATTAAGAATTATCGAGTTTGAACCAATTAAGTGGCCCATAATTGATAAGATAAGAGGTTGATCTTTCTGGATGAAACGACTAACAAACAATGAGCAAGTAATGCAGGGGAGTAGGGTTTGGTCATGGATTACGCTTCGCCAAAAACCCTCTCAAGTGGGATTCGAACTAAGAAATCTAGGAAACACAACCTTTGGAAGATCGTAGAAAATGCCACCAGACAGGTTTTGGAAGATCTAAGGAAACGCCACTAGACTATCATCCACTTTATAAATCTCATGGATTGTTAAGTTTCAACTTTTGCACCTCTTGCTGCATAACATTCTAGATCAGAACCCAAGACTTCTTTAAAGAACCAATAATGAAGTAAGCACTGACTGATCTCCATCCTGTATAATATCATCTCTGGGAACCAAAGTTTCCTGATGTACTGATCGGTAAAGTCTTCATGAATAAGAAATCAAGATCGAAAGGTGAAGAAAGAAAAGGTCATATATATTATTCATAACAACTCGAGTTCATACCTCGAGGTTACTAATTATCTAGAGACGAATATTGGCTTTGCACACTCTGTTAAAGGTGACGGCTGTCTCCAAGTTATGTGGGTTACTCTTGATCACTTCATCTTCGGTAGCAAAAATCTAGTACCTACTCAATGATAGATACCAAGCTCTGAACCAGACTCTTGAGTCACTAACTTTTGGCAGATGTGAACAGAGGCAAAATGCTTAAACTGGGAGAGAAGATTTACGATCATCGTTGGGACCGCCAAGGGTTTTGTGTAGCATAAGCAAAATCTCAGTTTACACAAACAGTTTCGACAACACAAGTTATACAGACAAAAACGTTCTTTATATTGATTTGACATGGTCACAAGATTTTACCATATGAAAGATGTGCAGTGGAGTGGCATGATATATTGAATTGAAGTATTAAACATTTCATCTACATTTATAGATCAATCTGCATCATCCTAAACAGAAGCTATTCTTAACCAAAAAAACAGATAAAGATGGTGAATATCTATCTGGTGAGAAGTGCCATCATTCGTTTACCTCACAGCAACCAAATTCCCCATGAAACCACCGCTTATCTCATAATGGCGGGCACTTGAGAAGCCAGCTTCTAGAGCAAGAGTCTCTAGCTCTTGTCCTGCAAAAGGACAATTTGACATTCCAATCAACTAATTAAAAACACAGTACGGTTTAAAGATATTTCAAGTTGGAATCTTTAATGCAGTGCAAGCTTTGGAATCTGGAGGAAAATGGTTGAATTGTCGCAAATCCCATGAAAACACAACACAAATTACAATATATCGAATTCAGCAGTGCCGTGTATTGAAAAGCCATGTACTAGTGATGGAGAACGAACCCGTTAGGTACCCATTGATAGAATACTTCAGATATTCATACTCCTTTGCAAGACTATAAAAGCTAGCCACCGGGACAACTACATTGTCGATCATCCAATTCTTTCAAAACCAAAGCACCAACCAAATTACTTCCCTCAAAGCATAATTGGCAAATTAAACCGAATAACACTTTACAGTCATAGTAATAAAACAAGCACCTGCATAAACGTAGCAATGGGTTGGTTGCTCTTATTAAAGTCAAGTATGGATACTTTCGAACCTAAAAACCAACAAGAGACAATCAAGTAGAGCACAAAGCCTTGGGAAAAATCAAACAAGGGCTAATGTGCGCATTACCTGGTTTCAGAACCCGATACATCTCCCTCATTGCCCTGTCTCTATCGGTAACGTTTCTAAGACCATAACCCATTGTAATAGCATCGAATTTACAGTCATCAAAAGGCAAATCGAGAGCATCACCTTCAATCCACCTACAAGAAGACAATATATACACATTAATGTGAGTGACAAGTTCTCTAAACAGATATTAGATCACAACAACAAGCATTAATTTTACCAGTGCTCACTCTATACACTTGTAACAAGACCTCGCTCGAAGATTCTGTCGCGATGATGCAACAGCTAGTTGCTCAGAGGAGAAATCCAGACCCATCACCTATAATTTCAGAATAAGCCAAGCCACATTTCAAGAAGACAAAACGAAATTAGCCATTGGACCGTGAGAGGGCAAAAGAAAAAGCAAACCTTTCCGTTCGAACCAACTTTCTCAGACAAGAGAAAGGCTAAATCTCCACTTCCACAACACAAATCAAGCACATAATCTCCAGTTTTCGCTCTAATTTTCCAAATAAACGAACCAAAATCAGGAAAGAGAGAAAGAGTAAATAAACAACGAAGAGATATATGTAAGTATATTCTTACGCGCTCCATGAGACAGCCATTTTCTTCCAAATCCGATGCTGACCCAAGCTTAAGAGATTATTCAACTGCAAAACCAAAACAACGATTTTTGTCGGGGAAAGCTAAAGTAGAAAAAGAGAAGGGATTTTGTTCAAACAAACATTATCGTAAACTGGAGCAATGCGGTTGAACAGTATCTGGCGTTCGTTCGAGCATTGAACCACCGGTCTGTGTCGTGATCGGGAGTTCACCGGGAGGTGGTCGGTGAAAGTCACCGGAAGGGCGAGACCGAGCACAGACATTTTCGGCCGTTGATTAACGATCACGTTCTCGTTTTGTCTCGGATTGGGTAAAATCAGGTCTCAGTTGGCTAATGGGCCGATTTCAGGCCTAACAAGAATAATTTGAGACCCACAAAATTTTAAACATGGTCGCAGTTTCCAATTACTTGCATTGACTGACTGTAGTCACTGTATCGATCAGGGTGTTCATTTCTTGTGAAGAATTATGCAATAAAGGATAGATAAATTGGATATTCATTTCATGGGTAAATTTGAATAGCTAAACTACTTTC